GAATAAATCAATTCAATAAATTCTCTAAAGAACTCAAAATGATTATTCTCTCAGCCGATTCTAGTCATTATGATCTATTCGTACAATAGTGTAAAAGTCACATGGGACATTTTTCTGCATTGTATGTTTCAATGGTTCAAACTTATTTTCTGATACTACTTTCATTCTGTTAAGTCATTAATTTTGAAAAAAAAGGACATCTCCAAAAAATCCTTTTATCTTCCAAAGGAAAAGGGAATATAGTAATCACAAATCTGTCATAATGAGTCAATGTATTTGGCCAATCAAAGCACATTTATCTCAGCTGGGAGGGCACTAGTTTCATTTTATGAATCATAACTGCAGAAAAAACCAGAGGCTTAATAGCTCTCTTTGTGTCTCCAGAGCTGTCATCAGCTGGCCCGGTGGTTTGCTTTGTCTATCCTCAACAGTAGCTGTTAAAAGGGGCTCGCTCACACCGCTCAACTTATACCATCACTCATCTAAATCATTACACCGTCTGCCTTTCAGGATGCATGCTGAGTAAACTCTGCTAGTGCAGGACCAGTGAGGCCTGAGCCAGCCTGGATGTACACGGCCCCAATATAGTGGAAAAGATGGAGGGGGGCTGACTTAGGATTAAAAACATGTTTTCCTAAATTATTTTATTGTTTGAACATGTTAATCATTGGTAGCTTCTAAAAATATAACCAAAATACAATTACCCCTAATTTAACTCCTTCTATACATGTTAAGTCATTATAGCTCTACTTCATGTAATCCTATTAAAACATGTATCAGATTGTCACTAACACATATTCCTACACTTTTGAGAAAACATGTGGAACACAGGATGTTCTATCATTTAAATGGAACCACCAAACTCCAATAAGGAACTATAATAGGAATATGTTCCTTTACATTGAGGTGAGGAGTTGCTTCACCCCAGGGAGAATGTGCGGCTCTCAAAAACAACCATATAGCGCTGCAGAATGTATACGATAGATCAGTGCAACATGCTATGGGTAGAGAGACCAATGCAGGCCAGGCTCTACAAATAGGGCATGTTCTAATTTTTTCATAGAACAAACAAGTACATATGGTTTGACACTTTAAAGCAATAAAAAAGCCAGAAAATTGTATTTCTTAAAACTTGTTTTTTTTTCTAAAGTGCATCAGAAGCTTCAATTCCTGTGTGGATTTTGTAATCAGGCTATTTTTTTTTCACATAAATAGAAACCTAGCCTTCTCCTTCCCCTGGATTGGCATCCTTGTGCTGGCCTCCCTCTGTGCTTTTGCTGCTCGCCTGTATCTGCTCAGAACAGGTGCCGCATCCTGTTCGGCTGCAGCATTCGCAGCACAGGTAGGGGTGGGAGGCCCTTGGCCGTTTGCACCATCCCCCAAGTTTTCCAGGGGTCCCCATCTGCGTCCCCTGCACATCGGCTGCCACATGGCACCCTTCCCTCGACGAGTCTGGTCCATTCTTCGCCCGGCGACTGGTGCGCCTGCCTGCTTGCCACCAAGCACTCTGGCTGGTTTGGAGCCACAATAAGATGAAGAATAGCTGCACCCATAATCCCTTTGCTATGAAATGTGTTTTTCTGTGTGTGATTTCCTTCTTTTCCTCCTTTGGCCACATTTAGAGCCAAGTACAAATTGTGAACAGGTTATTATGCTGCTGTAACACACTCCTACTGGAAAAGCTCTCCAACAGCATTCTGTGTTTACAGATGTAGATGGCTGTTTATCCGGCTCATAGAGTAGTTTAATTTGGTGTAAAGTTCACTGCATTTAGCGTGATTACCCTACCAAACGGGATTGTTGCAATAATTCCTTCCAAAGCGACATGAAATTTAGAAAACTCTATTCAATTATTTTTTTTATCGAAAATGCTATCTACTTATTGTTTTATTTTAAAAGCTTTAATCTAATGTAAGGCAAGTAATAAAGTACAGTCTAGCAAAAGCATTTAAACACCAGGATTTTTTGTGCATAAAATGTTATTCCAACCAGCTGAATCATTACTATATTACCCAAACTATTCTATTCTATTCTATTTAAAGCTAAATGTATTTTGGGGTACAGCTTTACAAACTTTACACATCTATTAGATGATCAGTTTGCTTGTTTTCTTTTACACTTTATAAATTAATCAGACTAAATGTGGAGTGTCTGTGAAGAGCAATATTTTGTGTAGAGCATAACAATCTTCCTGGCTCCTGCAAAAGTAAATCATTCAATAGCGTGTTGCTGTCATTAATATGTTTCCCATTGAGAATGTTTTGTTCATGGTGATGCACAAAGCATTTTTTTCACTAGACACAGCATTTACATGCGTGACAAAGGGTCATATTTTGGATCCATTTTTCCTTAAAAAATAGCTTATGATTTTGTCATTCTTGCATGAAAGCCCAATAATATTTGTGGTGTTAATGTGATTTCCCATCTGAGCTTTGGATCCCTGCAGCTCCTTCAGAGTTTCCATCGCTCTCTTCTCTTGCTTCGTTACTTTCTGATTAATGCTTATCTTGTCCAGTTTATTGGGTGGTCATGTCTTGGTATTTTTGCCATTTATATGTAGACATATTTTTAAATATTTTTAAAATAATTTAACCCTTTATAAAACATTATTTATCCCTGTGAGCTTTTTTTTTTTCTCCCTCAGAGTATCTTATTTTAATTTTAATTTTAAGATAGATTTATAATTTCCTTTTGCCCAAAAATGACCTTTTGCTCTACAAATTCTAATGAAATAATTACACGGCCCTATAGATTATCAGGCTGAGTTGCATCATACAGACAGCAAGCCAAAAATATTCTAAGGGCCTATCTGCCTCCATCAGTGCTTAACGCCTTAGTCACGTAGTTCAAATCAGCTACTTCCTCCTGACCTACAGTTATTGCATTCAAAACGTCATATAGCTGGAATAGCCTGCTTTCAAATGAGATGTGATCGGACGCTCCGTCCCGGGCTACACAATGGACTCAGGACCAACCAGACAGTGAGCCTCCTCTGTCCCTCTTGAGAACATGATCAGTGGTCAGCACTCACCTCAGTCCCATCAACATGGATAATATGTTACACAGCTGTGATGGCTGCAGGTCCTACACACACAAACACACATATGTAAGGCTGCTACCTTAACCGTTGGCGTTGTGTTAGGCCAGCAGTCTTGTTTGTTTGCCCAGGGAAGTGACATGACGGCAGAGGAGGAAATAGGAAACATAACAGACTACCTGACAGACTCATTCCACAGGCTTGACCTGAGAATGGAGCTCAGCCAAGCAGCAATCAGAGAGAAATAACAAGAGGAGCTTCTTTTGTTTGTTCAGCCTTTATCCGTATATCTACAAATGTTGTTAACCTTACAATCCACAAATGTGTGAAGATCTCAATTTGTCAAATCAATTTGTAATTGGAATGGGGAAAATGGGGACTATAACTCTCACAGTTGAGCCAGTGTGTGTAAAGTGTTAAAGCTCTGCAGTTCACATGAGTGTCATACTACTACTTGTTGTCACATTATTCTCTCCTTGCATTCTTGCTGATTTATAGCTGCTGAAGCAGCAGAAAAGGCTGTTTCTGGTTTTCAGATAGCAGCTCTGACTACAGGTTAAGATGAAAATGAGTCAACTTTAAGGGAAGACAGGAATTTGCCTGACAAGTTGAGTGTTTTGTCCTCACATCCCGGAAGTGCATATAATTCTCTAAAACAGTCTCATAAAATTTGTGATTTTTTTTTTTCATTTAAGCGGCTCATCAGATCTACGGGCTACTCCAATTATGTTTGTGCCTTTAAGCATTAGATGACGTAAATCCATAAATGAGCTCATAATTATGAACTGCTATTAATGAATATAAAGTCAAAATTTGTTTATGTAGACTCCTGTTTTCAAAACATATTTTTATAGACTCTATTAAAAAAGATTAAAATAAGAAATAATAATACTTTTTTTATATTTCACAACAACTAAAAAGGAATGCTCAACTAAATCGACGTAATTGATATGTGCTAATTCATTTGAAAATAGAACAACTTCTTTTTGCCATTCTTATTTGGTTTAATGGGTTGAAATAATACCTTTTTTTTAAGTCTGATGATACTCATTTTGTGCTTGACTCTTTGTCCTTGTGTGTGTTACCATGTCCTTCCCTCCGGTCTTAAATCTAAGACATTCCGCCTATTTATTTATTTTTTTCCAAGGGAGTTTGCCTCAGACCCCTTACCCAACACAGGGACAACTCTTGGGTCCGATGCTTGTCAAAAACTGCTTTTTCTTAACCAATGCCTACGGCTGTCTGTCCCAGTCTGGCTCTGACATTTAGGCTACACTCAAACTGACCCACTGCAGAGTTAAAACCCCCACAGGTATCAAGGGTAATGGTCTAACCTTACGGAAATAAGAGCGCTGGCTAACCTCAAACACTGCTACATGATGAATGTTGTCACTAGATTCAATGTAATCGCATTCACAGAAAGGTGTGTCAAAAGCATTCAATCAGGGTTGGACGTGGACCCTAAAATTCAGTAGTACACTTGGTCGGCATAAGTATCTTTGTGGTAAATATACAGGAGATCATATTTTACGAAGCGTCTAACAGAAAAACAGTAGAAGACGAGTCGGTAAAGATGTTAATAAGCCCAGCAGCCCTTCCTCCCGCCTTCTGAACAGCGGGTTCCCTGCTCTCAATCTAGCTCTTTTAATGCAGGACCCAACCAGGCCCAAACATCCTGACAGAGAGAAGCTTTTCCCTTATCAGTCAGGAAACACTGCTTCTCCGCCACATCCTCTTTACAAGAAGCACGACTCAAACATTCCCAAAAAAATGCAGGAAGAGCAAGCCAGACTTCAGGATTTGTCAAAAGCCCACCAAATTCCTTTAATCGAAAAAGGGAAGAAAAAAAAAATCAAGAGAATGTAGAGAAGTCAGCAAGACGAGGAGCGGGCGAAAAAAACAGAGAAATTAAAAGGGTTTAAATCATGAATTTGCTGTTTATTTACTTTTAAACATTAGAAAAAAGGTCTGCATCGGCAAGATATACCAAGGGGGGAGCGAGTGGGAGTGGGGGACACGGGTTGTGAACGGGGGGGTTGGAGGGCCTAAGAATGGTACCCAGAATAAGACTCCAGAAAAACAAAAGGAACACTGAGATGGAGGCGGGTGGCAATGAATGCGCCTGTTTTACACTAATCCTCTGAAAGAGGAGAGGGCCAATGGGAAACATGACAGAGAGGGTGGAAAAATCTGGTGAGCATTGGAATGGGTAACATAAACCTCATCAGAACCCATAATAAAAGAACAAATGATATGACGAGATCAAAGATGGAAAGATGTCTCACAACAGTTTTTTTTCTCCAAATTATTCTCAAAGAAGTAGTCATTCTATAATGTTTTATTGTTTTATTTTCTCATTCTAAGCATCTAGTTAATCAATGTGGCATCTCAGAATATATCAGCTTATCTCCAGTATTTCCAGCAGTATTGTCATGTAATAAAAATCTATTTTTTTTATAGTCTTCAATTAATCTAAACAATCATATACTTAAAGTCACCAATAAATTTCAATGAAGACATTGACTATATGACTATATTACTAGAGAATTTGTCTTTGTTTCTTTATTATACACAATTTAGTTGAGTTGCATGAGAAATGTTTAGCTGAAACCGTTTTCAATTACAACTACTGAGGTAAGACTCCCAAAATTATGAGAGCGATAAAGGAAAAGCCAACATTCAAATGGGAAAGCGTTGATAGTAGTATTACATTTATGAAAGAAAAATATTAACAGAGTTAAATAAGCTTCTAAGGAGCTTCTGTACATGCCTAAGTAGCTACATTAAAGAGTGAATAAACAAGTCTTTTTTACGATTGTTGCACTAAGTTAAGCACATTTCCAAACAACTGGGGGTGGCATTCTATAGTAGTCTGTGTCTGCGTCCCTGAGGTGTCCATCTTCATATCTTCAGGTTTTTTCAGATTGCTTGTTGTCCAAACTTGGCTCCAGATAAACATATTGCTCAGTAATCAGTCCAGCTCTTTAGGATTGGAGGAAGTTGCTCATAGATGCTAAAAAGTGCAACATTATCCTGCATCTTTAATACGAACTACAGTCTTTTAGAGTTTTTAAATCAGTCTCATGTCTGTAGCTGCAACAGGCGTGCTTATGAGATGCCATAGTTGTTGTAGTAGGCTGCTGTTGCATCTGCGAGCACGGAAATGAGGCTGGTTTCTGTGGTGCTACTGGGACATGATGCGGCGGAGGTGGTGGCGGTCGATGCTACCTGGATGTGTCCAGTAACGGTCATGCCACTGCCTTGTTCTGGGTGGAAACCACCAGCGGTGGAGTTCAGGTATTGGTCGAACTCATTGCGGTCCACCTCTGCCAGAAGCTCAGCTTGGCTTAGCTGGTCTAAAGTCTCAAGATGGCCCTGAGTCTCTGGTGGGGGGGACAGTTGACCAAGGTGGCCCTGGTGATGCCCATGGTGAATCTGTGGGAAAGACGAGGAGCTGTAGTAGGACAGGGGAGGGCCAGGGATCAGCCCAGTGCTCCCAGTTTGGGACATGTGAGCAATGTGACCTAAGTGTGTGCCCCCACAGTGGATTTGGGTCTGAGTGTAGTCAGTGTGGTAAGGAGGTGGGCTGCCCATGTGTGTCTGATTTTGGTGGTGTTCATCTGGACAAGAGGCTGTGGATGAGCAGGAGACAGAAGAGCTGCCAGAAGTTGAGTAATAGGTCGAGGGCATGTGCTCGTGGTCCATGGCATCTAAGGGGGACATTTCGGGAGGTGTGGGCAAGCCATATGGGTAGGCGTCAAAGCTACTACTAGAGCCAGTGGGCTCTCTGAAGGTTCTCACACTAGGCAGAGCGGGGCTGGAGCCTGACAAGCTGCCGACGATTCCTTTAGAGCTGCCCTCGTCTTTGTCCAGTGGGTGACCGAGGGCCCGCTGCTCAGTCAGAGCGCTGTGATCATGGGCCAACCCACTCAGGAGAAATCCGGGGTCCACTCGCTTGCAGATACGCTTCAGCTGTTTCTTCCTACGGGGCCGATACTTATAGTTCGGATAGTCCTGCATGTGCTGCACTCTGAGCCTCTCTGCTTCCTCGACGTACGGCCTTTTCTGAGGAGGAGTCAGGGCTTTCCATGATTTTCCTGCATTTAAAAGATATGAAAGAAAATTATTTTATTTGAAGTAAAATCAGGATAAAAGATATTAAAATAAAGCTAGATATTTCCTAGTACTTTTTCATTGTTTTCATTTCCATGTTTTCCTTTTTCGCTAAAGCATAATGATATAAATAAGTATAATTAATTTTATCCCCAATGGTTATTTCAATTCGAATTAACGAAAGTTAAGCTTTTACCTTCACTTTATAGATTTGATTCTTCTACAGGGATGTGTGGGATTTAAATCTGTGATTGCTGCAAAAACTGTTAACCGTAACAACTAATTATAAAACATTATTATGAAAATATAGAAACATACAAATGAAGATGGTTTTTACTTTGTGAAGATATTTTGCATCTGATAAAACTTTTACACAACTTGATTTGTTGCTTTTTTTTTACAAAAAAAAACAAAAAAATAAAAAAAAAAAAAAAGAAAAAGGAAAAAAAATATATATATCTTATTTTGAGATAGAAATATGAAATGAATAACTAATGGTAAATACATTTATTTTGAAATACAGCTGGCTAAAAGTAATATGGAGTTAAGTTGATGTAAACTCTGTAAAGTTAAGATTTTAATTATTTCATTGCTGTTATGTAATAAGTAATTTAGTACTCAAAAACATAAGTTATGATTATCTGTTTAGATAAGTCTTGTTTAAATAAGACATAAAAAAAAAACTTTTGTAATGCAACAAAAGGCCTCAAAGGAAAAGTTAGCAGTAAAACAATAATAATAATAATAATAATAATAATAATAATAATAATAATAATAATAATAATAATAATAATAATAATAATAAAATTATTTTGCTTACCCAACATTTTGCTGAGCTCTGCATTGTGAAGGTCTGGGTTTTGAACCGCCAGCCGTTTGCGCTCGTCCTTGGCCCACACCATGAACGCATTCATGGGCCGCCTGATTCGTGGCTCCGGCGCCTTGTCCACGGAGGTCCTGTGCGAGACATGTGCTTCAGGGACATCTCCGTCTCCTGGAGGACACTCGAAAGACTCCGGCCACGACGAGTACGCGCTGATGAGAGCAGCCATCTGCAGCGCGCTCTCTCCTCTCCAAACTTAAGAAGCGCGTCTGAGTCTCTTAAACAAGTTGTGCGCTTTCTGCTTTCTGTCTTTAACCTGGCTTAAATCTTTGGAAAACTTAAAAAAAAATGTTTTAATTTCAAATAAAAAATGGTTATGCGTTAAAACAGCCTGGTGATAAATTCCTGAACAAATTTTTAAGAGAACGCACAGATGCGCACAAGCAGCTGCTCCTCCATGTGGGCTGTGATTCGCTCTTTCCTGGTGGATGGGGGAAGCGCTTTATATTTGAGGAGCAGGTTCCAGGAGAAACCCCGCTGGACTGTCGACTCCTCCTTGATTGCAAGTCAAACCCAGGGAAAGGAAAGGGAGAGGGTTCAACATTTCAACACAAGCAACTCCTTAAACTCCTAACAACACAACTCTTGTACCCTGCTGAACTCTAATATTAACTAATTAATAGAGCACTTCAAAACATGGCATTACATGGTTATTTGAGGCTCCTTGGAATAAAAAAGTGGATAAATTCACATTGAACAAACTAAAAATCTGCTTTTTGTGTTTTATTTTGGGAGGTTAATGTTAAACTAGATTTTGAAACATTTTTTCTGGTCTACCTGCATGACTAACTTACCAAACCTGTTTTACCGCCATCTCATCTTACAGAAAACTCTGGTTAAGTGAATTGTTGCATTAGACTATAGGCGTGAGCTTTTTCCAGTTTTATTATTTTTCATTTGTGTAAAGAGAAGTTGAATTCATCTAAAGTACACATTATCTGCAAAATTGAAGATACATTTAAACTTTACGGCCTATCAAAATAAAGAACAAAAACTCGCTTTTTTCTGCTTGGACTGATCACTCTGAACAGAGTTTTTTCAGACCAAATAAATAAAACAACAGAGCCCACACAGAGACCAATCAGTTTCCTTCTGTGACCAACAGCGGCTGCATATCGAATCCAGGAGTTCCTGTTGACAGGATACTCTCAGGCTGCAGTGGTGGAGGAGCTCACACTCCCACACACACTCTCAGTACTTAAAACCCAGCTACCAACCTCAGGTCACAAATTATCTTATCTTTAATATATTTGGTGATAAGAGAAACTTGACCACAGATTTAAAACACACAATGTGTTTTTTTTATTTAATTTTTTTATTAACACGTAGCTCAAGTCGGAATCTGTATCTTGTGGAGAGTCGTGCTGCCCCACTTGTTAAAGAAAGTTGTCAACTTTAGTTTACCCCCCACAGGAACAGGATATGGCACCTGAAGGCACAGATTGTGCATGATGCGGGCATATCAGTGATATATGGGGCCACAGTTCCTATCTCTGTTCAGACTTGGGCCATGTTGATGTGTTACCAGTGAAAGTCAGAGATTAATGCTCAGGTACAGTTCAGTCAGACAGCTAATAGACAGAACAGACATACATTGTAGATGTTATATTGCACATAAACTTAAAACATAAACATCTTTCTTAAAACACCAAGGATTGTGTTGGGTAAACTACATAACTGATGAAAGATTTTTATTTTTTCAAGGTGTAACATATACATTTGTTTTATGTATTCCTATATGGATCACTGCACAAAACTAATATATTAACATATTTTTATGAAACATGAATGATCTAATGTCTCAGAATAAAAACTACAGATTTTTGATAATCTTATGACACAATAAGCTGAAAATGTTCACTATTACGAGTAAAGTAAATAATTACTTCAATGTTAAAAATGTCTTTACAAACAAAATGCAACAAACGCTGCATAATTTTAAACTTGAGTGTTTTGGCTGTACTGTCAATTTCAGACGACCAGGCGGATCTGAAGAGAAATGAACTTTAGCCTTTAAAGTGTTTTTTCCGATTTTAATAATCAAGGACGCATTATATTACGTATATATGCATGCAATTGACCAATATGAGCAATAAAACTAAATAAGAACATTGGCCACTCCACTGATATAATTAGCCAACAAATAAGGCAGTTTTTTTAGACAAAAGATGAGAATGGATGTATGGAATAAGCTTGAGCCAGAGGCCCTCATGAAACCATGTGATGCTGGAATCTGTCACAGATCATGAAATAAAAGTGAAAGTTTTGTTGCTGTGTTGTAAAAGTTCAAAAATAGACAGCCACACTGCTAGGTCGAATGACTGCAGGACAGAGGGGAGAAAACTACAGTGTGAGTGGGTCTGGGAAAAAATATATGTATTAGTTATTGGCCAGCGGAGTTGAAAATATCAGCATGTTGGCCAAAATTGCAATAACGTGTGTCCTTAATAATGATAAAAGGTTGTTTGTGACCTTTTAGGCTAGTGTTACATTATTCTGTAATGTTGCCATCTGTTGCTCATTTAAACATTCATATGTGGGGGAAAAAAAGGTGCAAGAAAAAATTAATTAAAATATACTTTATGTCCGTAAGGAAATGTGTCAAAAGCAATGTAAATTAGAAAATGAAAGCATACAGTTTTATACTATAAACAAGCTAAAATTGAGGTTATGTTATTTAAATTGAAATTGCTAACATCATAGAAATGTTATTAAAGTCAAGTGAGTCACACTTCTGAAAATAAGTATGCTTGTTCAAGACAGTAGTTTACAAATGCACTAAATTTTTTGCTTGCTTTAGATCAAACAGTTATAGGGTATAACTCACCTCTTTGAATCTTGGCAGAAAGGAAGAACCCTTGTGAATTGGTTAACTGTAGACCATATTTCTGCCATTGGCTCTATTGCTTGATGCAGCTCCTAAGTCACCCAGAGATCCTCTTTTGTTTAGCCCCTCAGTCCTTCAGGATTGATCCTGTCCTGCAAAAATCCCATGGCTTCTGCTGATGTCTTCAAAGACACAATCAGCATTTAGTTGATCAAAAATGTTCGTTTTGAGACATTTCTGTTTTTCATAAGGTTGAATCTGTCTTTTTTGAGCATACGGATTATGTAACTTAAGTTTTGACAGATAGACCAAAGCTGCTCCTCCAACTTAAAGTGACCTAATAGGCGTGTGACAGAAGCAGTGCTGCCCTCTGTGCCCACATATTTCACCTAGCCAAAGAAGAAAGTGCATATCTGTAAAAACAAACGCAGCTATCAGATCCAAAACAGAGAGACTTCATATATGAACACTGGTAGATTCTTTGTTGGTTCATGACATAGAGACTTTTCTTTTTCTCCCACTTTCGCAGTTTAAAATCCCCTCTTACCGGTACATTATTAATGGATGAGAAAAATCCAGATTAGACCTTCCAAGGGCAGAAATTCTTGATAACTTCCAGAAAACAAAAGGATCTATAGTCTATAAATCTATAATCTGGTTCAAGTAACGTTCATATTTTGATGAACTCCCTTTGCATGCATAGCAAAATTTTTTGTTTTGCAGATTGTTAGTTTGTAGAGATGAAACACTCTATACAGGACACATTCTTTTCTCTACTAATCTTTTGGATTTTTCTATCATTTTTAGAAATAAACCAACATTTTTTGTGAAGTTAAAGCATTACTGAAGAACTTTCTGTTGTGGTTGATTTTGTCTCCCCCCAGGTAGATTGAACTTCACTTGTTTCCAGTGGCTGATTCCTGTTGCGTTAGGAAGGTAATCAATCTAACCATGTCATATGACGATGTTGAAAAGAGGAAACGTTTAACACTGGATTTTTAGCATAGTTGCTTAGTGTCGGTGACAGCGAAAAAGACCCCCCCCCTCGGGCAATGACAGATGTTACATTCAACTAGTAAATAAATAACAAAGGTTATGAAAATATTTTACGAATGTTGAAATTTAATATAAAGGTAAAAATTTGTGTGTTTGTATTATATGAACAAATTATGAGAACTATCTTTATTACTGAAGGGACCAAAACTTACCTTTTATTTGTACATACCATTTTATTCCCTCTTACTGGGTCCTTAATCTTTTAAAAGACTTTTTATGAAGTTTTTTTTTTTTTTTGCATTGATGATGGTGTGACAAAAAACTGAAATAAAATTATTTTCTTGTGGCCAAAAATGAAGATTGACCTCCAGCATTGATAAGGCTTAAAGATAAGCTATATGAACACATGGATAGAATTGCCCTAAGTGGTATAGGATATATAGACTGTGCGTAGATTCTTAAAGCTGAGAGAAATTGTATTTTGTGTTCACTTAGGGAGCCTGAAAGCATGTAAGACTAGATTTTTTAATGTAAAAGTAGAAATGTGATAAACTAATCAGGAAAACAGCACAAACCTGGCAACAGCGAGGGACATCTGGCAAGAATGGTGGCAGGAAATGGGAGAGGAATTAGCACACCTGACCTGATGTACCTAAACAGCCAGTGTTGGGTTAGCCAGGTATTCTAACACAACATATTCTTTTGTCCTGAGATTTTGAAACACACTTTCAGATCATTTCAACACAAAAAACCCAAAATAGACACAAAGAACACTACATTTCCATATGCAATACTGGAAACCAGTAGCTTCTCCTTTTCCTCGTTTGACTCATCTCACACAAAGCTGTCTTACAGGTGTCATCAAACAGGATAGCAATGTCCTGCGTCAGATCCTTTAAAACCAAAGTAAAGTAAAACATCTGTGACAAATAAAAAAACTATCCCTGAGTAGGTATGGTGATGGGGGAGTGGCGGCCTAGTGGTTAGGGCCAAGAACTTGGAATCTTGAGGTTCTGAGTTCAAGGAATTTGAGATCAATAAAGTTAAATTATTATTCTTTGCAGCTTCCACACTTGAATAAATTTTTTCTACTGGTGTCATTTTATTCACGACATAATATCAGCTGATTGTATAAAACAGAGTCAAACCACATGTGCCTTTCTTTATTTAGAAGCATTAAACTGGACATTTGAAAGATTGGCTAATTTCATGTCATCTTTCACAAAGATTGGGCTTCTACTTTTGTACCAAAAATGACAAAATGGAAGATAAAGAAAATGTGAACTTTTGTTTGAATAAATAGTAATGCATGCACATACTGTATTAAGAGACCATGGTAGCTGTATACTGATATCATTCAAGTTACAAAGTTACAGACATAAATCATTTCATTTAAGCCAGCTCATTAGGCACATTTTACATGAAAGTTTCAAAAAAAAAAAAAAAAAATCAATTAAAAGTTTAGGTTTACATGTTCAGATTTCATTTGATCAAATATTTATAAATGTAAAGCTTGAAAATGAGAGCAGATGGCATGTTTTTAGGAAACTTGAAATTAGAATCAACTCCGCCCTATTCATTATTTTGTCTCTTCTTTTTCTTTTTCTTAGATTTTTTACTAACCACTTCCTCCTCACACTCCTTCATACCACTGTGGTCCTCCTTATCCTGGATAACTCTGCACTCCTCATTTTGTTCAAGCTCCATTTCAGCATGTTTCCGTTTTTTCTTCTTGGAGAGCCCTGGTTCTTCACAGTTCATCTCCAGAACACTGGTGGAGCTACAGTTTTCATGTTCATCACTGATTTCTTCTGTTTTCCTCTTCTTTTTCTTCCTTGAACATGAATTTTCTTGGTTTTCCTTTTCTTCCTTTACAATGGGAGGACTGGACTTCTCTTCCACAACCTCCAGCTCCTCTTCAAGCTTTTTCTTCTTCTTCTTTTTCTTCTTCTTTTTTTGGGGCTCATCAGCATCATTGTTGCTGTTGGGGGCTGCATCAAGCTCCTCAGCTGATGTTTCTGTATCCCTTTCTTTCACAGATGCAGCTGAACCTTCAACACTGCGAGCCTTTTTGAGCTGTGCCATGCGCTGCGCAAAATACTCCTGCATGCTTAGAGAACTTGTTACAGTTTTGGTTATTGACTCAGCATCCAGTTCAGATGAAGCAGGAGTTCCTTTTTCCTCTGATTCAACTGGAGACTCGCTCCTGCTGCTCTCCTATGCCACAAAGACACAAATAAGAACAGTTATTTAAGGAATCATCAAATACAGAGATTGCACACCATCTTAAACAAAGGAGATTAAGTGATTGTCAGTCATCATATTAAGATTACCCCAACAAACCAAAGAGACTGACAAAGCCAGAGAAGGATGTTGAAACAATAGGTGTTAAAACCCTAAAAAAGGCACTATCAACAAAACAGTGACTTTTCTTTATGCATCCAGCTGCATTTGTTTGCACAGTCAGCACAAGCTGTCATCCTTCTGTAACAGGTCCATCTTTTTTGATGAGAAACTGTTACACAGATTCAAGTTTTAGTTAAAACATCCAAATAAAACCAGATCCACAGTTTGGCTTGGCTGACTACCAGAGCAAGAAGAGGAAATCAGTACTGCCAATCAACCTAACCCAACATGCTCTAACTTTAAAGGTAATATCTCATTCTACACTTTCCAATGTATTCATTTAAAAAATGATTAGCATTAATAGTCATTCTTATTGGTTTTTTGTAAATAACGCTAAAAATAATTTGTCAATTACAACATTTTACAGCATACCAACCCCTTGGATGTCTCTGAAGACATGCTAAATAGCAAATCCCACATTTATGGTTATGTTCTGTGTAAAGACTTGTTTCAACTTTTTTTATTAAGAATCAACAATTTCATCAGTTAGGGCCTTAAAATGACCAAATTCTGACCTGAGAAGTATTGAGTGGTGACTGGGCAACCCAAAACTAAAACCTTTGTCTGATTAAAGAAATGACTACAAGTAGGAGACGCGTGTGTGTGTGTGTGTGTGTGTGTCCAAGTTCAATTCAATTTTCAATTCAATTTATTTATATAGCGCCAATTGACAACATGTCATTTCAAGGCACTTTACAGTTCACCAGCTTATACAGTCAAATTGATTTAAAGTTTTTTATCTAAGGAAAACCAGCTCATTGCATCACACTAAGCATGCTTGTAGTGACAGTGGAGAGGAAAAACTCAATTATATCAGCAAGAAAATTGAAGCAGAACCAGGCACAGTATGAGCGGCCATCCGCCGAGGCCGACTGGGGTTCAAGAAGACAGAGTAACAGCAAAAACAGTAGGAGGTTCTCAGCAGTGAAGAAACATACAGTAAGAAGTCCAAAATGGCAGATAGAGGTCAAAGGGTCATAAACCTTTCTATAGAAGTGAGTTCTTGACCTTACATTTCTTACCCTTATCTAGAAAATGCAGACAGCCATCTCCATTAGAAATGATATACATGCTGTTTAGTTATAAGTCTAAATAAACAAACAAAAGAAACCACAGCTTAAATCTCTTGTCTATAGCCTGCTGAAATATAAAAATGCCCAGGAAATTTGAATATTTAGGTTTAATAACGAAAATACAAAAAGATCATGTAACCATGATCAGCTGTAGGGGTGTAAATCACCAGCTTTATCACAACACTTATTTCAAAATAAGAGTTTTTTTTTGTTTGTTTGTTTTTAACAAACTGCATTTTTTGGTTTAGGGGCTTTGACTTCAGTTTGACGCAATTACAGTCATACAGTTGTCTAGAAAGGCTGAAAAAAGTTAGACCAAGAAAACATAACGTCAACTTGTTTAAGGCTATGTTACCCACTGCTAATGTAGTGTGATTGTTAAGACATTAACATTAACTTTTACTTATTCAAAGCTATGACCTAAAACAGTGAGGTGATAATTTCTTTCCTGGACACAAATATTACACTTCACTGATGACCTAAAACTTGGCCATTTCCTAATCCTGAAGTTATTTCTACATTCAGGCTTAAGGGTCAAAGAGCGTAACAAAACTCAGTGATCTTCTGTTCTGCAGTCAAGGACAAAACCGAGTCAGATAATAAAATCCTAGATCCAATCTTTAGGTTTGGCATTAAATGAGGCCTATTTTAAAACTGTTAGGCAGAGTGCGGTCCAGATTTTACCGCCACTGCATGTACAATTTGTCACCTCACCCCTATGACCCATTTGTCTTCATTTTCCTAATGGCCTACTCAATGCATAATGATTTGTCGAGAAGAATACAGGAGCTCCTCTGGAGATTTGCACTAAACAATGCTGCCGCTTGCTGCTTTATCCAGGATGGTGAAGTGGATTGCATTTTTCACAATGATACAGATTAGAGATAAACTGAAAACACTGAGCTGTATGGTGCCATTTCATTGTTTGGCCTTTTAGGCTTTTATGTACAGATTACACCGTTTGATATGGACAGACTGGCAGTAAAGTTTTGCACATCTAACTTTAAACACAGAGTCAAGTGGATAGATGTGCAAAAAGCTTTACGGCTTAAGTAGGGCTAAAAAGCGAATATTGCTTTCTGAGATGAGTATTCTCCAATCAAATGAAATATTCCAACAACTTCTGTGATGAACACAGAACAAATATATTTAAATGTAGGTGATCCAAAATGCCAAGGCCAAAGAAAGTTTCCCACCACCTAGGACCTTTTCCAGATATAACCACTACCTCTAACAAGGGGGATATAAATCCCTTCAGGTGAGGTGCCATTAAACAAAACTTTCCAGCTTCCCACTAAAAATCTATACTCCCCGTTACTGCACAATTGCGTCCTCTCTACTTGGGAGAGTGAAGATGAGGCTTAGAGCTGACAGCGCCAAACAGCATGTAACTGGGATTTAGGGAAGATGGCTGGGGGCCACTTTAGAGCTGCCTGTGAAATTACTCTCTGGAGAGGGACAAGCTGAATGAGCAAAGGGAAGAAAGAGGGACGAGTGACGGAGAGAAACATCATCATCAGGGAAAGGTGGCTTGAGCTCGGTATGTGGTTCTTCCTTCACTGCCTGGGGATTCCATTAGACTCTGACACGACAGCAGCTAGAAGTGCTGTGCTGTGCACAGGCTGGACAGACATAAACACACTGATCCACTCAGCATTACTGGCTGCCCCGGAGATCCTTTTTGGCCTGAACTATTGGGGGCGACAGGCTAATAGGAAAGTACTTGGTAATAACGTTTTTAGGCGCCTCTTTGCCCCTAACTTACTAGTCAATGAATTCTATGCTATGTCATGCAGTCTTGGAATCAGCAAGGAAGATGCATTACAGAAATGTATATTTTGAGTACATATTATCAAAACAGCCCCCTCTCCTTAAGAAATCTGTTTTTCTTTAAACGATTTCAAATGTGTAAAATACATTTGAACTTTGAGCAATAGAATCAAGTATATGATAACTGTTGCTGCCAGTTCAAAGCAGCTTATTCTGCTATTGGCTTGTTTGGCTGAATTGATTGAATGATAGAGGTAAGAAGAATCGGATTTAACAACTTATTCATTTTAAAACAAGAACCTAACAGCTCCCCTCATATTCAGCAGGTCACCATCTTGGTCACACACTGGTTATAGATAGCAAGCTATTCTTCAACAAGCGTTTGCCACAAGTCCACCAATGTGGTTGTGTTGTTTATTCTAGCATTAAAGGCACACCCGAGCTGATCCAAGCATTCGAAGAATTTAAGGCAGGACAACAAGCAGCCCAATTCATCCACCCAATCTCTTCGATCAAGGGGAACGTGCAGACATTGTGGGGGAAAGGGTTTGTTACTTTGCATGCAAGATGAATTGTAACAAGTTTTGCAAATTCACAAAGTCCTGAAAACACATGTGGCCAGAAGACAAGAGATTGCATTAGCATCATGGCAGAAATGTTTTTGGACCAATGAAATGCAAATGTTTTAGAAAAAGCGATTTTTGCCTTGGATGGGAGAGGTGTAAAGATGCGTGCTCCTCCCGACCAGATTTGGTAAGACTTTGATTTATCATTTAACTTTGCTGGTTCAAAACAAATCAAGCTGCTACTGCTGCTGGGATTGGCAAAAAACAAAACAAAAACAAAACTTGACATGGTAAGGAGATAACTAATCTGCACCAAGAATTGTACTAAACATCCCTCCCTTTTGCGAACACTTTCTTCATTTTCTTCCAGATTTATACGTGCAGAGTTCAAATAGATCTACACTTATCAATTTGGTTTATGCCAGCTTACAGTGTTTGGGCCCCAAGAGAGAATAATAAGACTGGTTGCAAAATTTTATTACTGCAGAATCTTAAAACTCTTGACATTAAAACTTCCTCATGGGAGGATAAAATTAATTTTGTACAAATGGATATGCTTCCCCGTGCATCACGATAGCTAAACATAACATATCAGTGACATGCAGTAACATTAAAGGAGGTTGACAACAAATGCCCGTTAGATCAACTGATCAGACAAAATCACCTAAATACCTCCAGCAATTAATTGTTTTACAATTTATTTTAAGAGATGAGCCTAAATAAAAATATTCTTCAGTAGGAAGAATGCTTGCTGAGTGGGGTGAGCCATCAGTCGCACACAAAATATGATGCAAGATGGTAAGATCGATTTTCAGTGATGGTTATTTATATTTATTTGCCCACAGTAAAGCCCGGCGTACACTGTGCTCACACTGTACGACTAAACCCTGCGTTTAGTCGTACAGTGTCAGCTCACAGCTCACGATTTATGTTCGGCCTGACGCTCTGATGCGATCTAACTGCTCACACTGTGCGACTAAAAACCACGTCGGACTCAGCTCCGCAGTGAGATGGAGCTGCTCTGTAGCTCTCTATCCTGAAGCCAAACAAATAGAAGAGGAATATGAAGCTAACTATAGCGTAATTTTGTGCTGAGGGTCCTAGAAAAAAAGGGCAACAACGTATTTGGAAAAAGGACGTGGCTGAGCAGGCGTGGCTGCTGCGGTCCGTCAATTTGCAGACGGAGCTGCATTTCACTCATTGCATCCCTGCCACCCTGCTGTGTTTACATCTGAGAGGAGGAATAAAAAAAAAAAAAGAATCCTTCTTTGCGCATGCGCCCTGAGCGATTTGCCCACGGGAGAATATCAAACATGTTTGATATTCTCCCGACCTCACGATTCCTGATTGGGAGGTGGTGATGAGAGGCTGATCGCCGCTCGTAACCCCCTGTACACTAAAC